AGAGCACTTTTATCACACGTTGTATGTAGAATAAAGGGTAATGTTGGAGTTAAAAGGAAAAGCTTAGAAGTGAACTAGTGCCTACCCTTCCATTTAAGGATAAGGAAACACAAGGAAGGGATTTTAACTTTTGTCCTACATTCACACACAGGAAAAGGATTGAGAAAAAGATGAAACGAGCATCCTGAGTCTGATCCTCAGCTTCCTTAGCAAAGAAATGGAATGGCAGTACCTACCTCAGAGAGCTGTGGAGAGGATTAAATGAAATTATACCTGGGAAAAATACAGCCCGGTTACTGGCACACGGTAAGAACTAAATAAATGTTAGCTGCTAAGGAGATAACTGCAGCTCTGGCCCAGGACAGGGGCTTTCGATCCCAACTGCACATCAGAATTATCTGGGAAGTTTTTTTCAAAAATAGTCAAGCCCAGGCCCAGCTGCAGACGTTCTGAGTTAATTGGTCTGTGATGGGGTCCACTTTAGGTGTGGTTGAAAAAATCAGGTGCAGATGATTCTAATGGGATTTTAGAATTCCACGGTTGAAACTCACTGGCCTCCGTCCAGGAAGAAGGGCAGAGACCATTACTGGCTAAATACTGGGAAGATGGTAAAGAAAAAGAGAAAGGGGGAGGGGGCAGGCGGAGGAGGAGAGAGATTTAAAATACTATGGTGAGGTTGTAAAAGAGATTTGAAAATGACATCTTTTTTTCAATAGCAAATGTGTGGTTGCTACAAAAGATAAATAATGACCCATCTAATTGAAATGAAGCAATCAGAAAAGCTTACTAATAGGCTTATTAAAACAGGGTTCTCACTGGTTCCTATGACTTAGGGAGACCTGGTGCCACAGCTGAAACACAGGAAAACACACCCAGGTTAACAATGGGGCCATCGTTTAATGCAGAAACCCAATTAACATAAAGAGACATAGGTTGAATGACAGATAGGACTTCAAACGATACTGCATAGTGTCACAGATTAGCTCTTACATGGTTGATCTGTTTTTCTTATGATTTTGATTCTAGTACAAAGACAGAGAAAAGACGTCAGTTAAAAAATAAATAAATAAGGCAACAGAAGAAGAATCTCCCTGTGACAAAAAGAACATCCACAAACACAAACATTTGGTGCTGACACAACGAGACACCGCTTAGGACGAGTTCTGAAGATGCTGCATTAAAATTTAACAAGCATGTTACGATGACAAGAAAATTATACTTACTTTGTTATGAACCTTTTTGCAAATAGAAATGACTCTCGGGTAATTATTATATACAAACTTTCTGAAATAAATGGCAATCATACAAATTTTTCCATTGCAATTTCCTCTTTTTCTAAACCTAGAAGTGTTCCATGACACTGCTCCCTATTTCTCACAGTCAAAGCATAGATAGTCATTAAAGCACTTGAATCCACAGTAGTCTTGTCCTTGGAAAGGTATGGAGGTTTGCATGATTTTTATATCAGTCATCCAGAAAGGGCTGGCAGGCAACAGATTGGAATGTAAAAGACCGCTTTGTGCTTGGGATCCTGATGCGAACTTCTCTCTGTTCCCTCAGGAGTACGGGCCGCCAAGCAGTGAGCTTGAGTGTGGACAGTCATACCGTGGAGTCCCTGCCAGACTTTAGATGTGCAATCTTGGTCCGGCTAATAAACGGATAAGCGATGCAGAGACCTCCAGCTGCCACAATAAAGCCTAAACTGCACCAGGCGCAAAAGATAGACCAGCTGTAGCCGTGTTCCACATCATTGGGCAGGCTATAAATTAGTTTTGGGAGCCGGTTCAAATCATAGGAGATACTGGCAGCATAAGTGCAGAGGGAAATGGTGCAAAATATTCCTATAAATAATTTGAAAAGAACAGAATGGTCAGTTAAAGTTGTGTCTGCTACAAGGCAAATGCCAGACAGGCCTTTGTGAAAATCAGATCAACCAATAAGGGAATCACTCCAAATTAATAAAGGACCTGTAACTCTTTGACTTGAATTACTTCCTTCAACAAACACTGGCAAAACCCTGATGGTACAGATTGTAGGCTCAGTCTGCAGATATAGAGTGAAGAACACAGGGGAAAATTCTGAAAATTTGAATTATTCAGAATTATCTTGCTTGAATAGTATGTATATTTAAATTTATATTTGTTTTTTATTATTAAAAACAACTTAATAAAAATTCTAATTATTTCTAAGGGAAAAAAATCTATAGTCACTTAAACCTAATACAAAACAGTCTTCATTTCCCTTTGTTCTATATGTGATTTGATACATTTTTACATAGTTGTAATCATATAAAGTCTGCTTTTTAAATTACTATTATTAGTATTTATCATGTTGCCTGTAAGTAATACTTCCAATGAACTTTTTACAAGTGCTAAATCATTTTTTAAGGTCCAGAGCCTGTCACATACTAGAACTTCAACAAATCGTTGCACTTTTTTGTGTTGTTCTTATTTTTTTAATGAATAAAAGCTTAGAATTAATGTAAAATATCTGAGTAAGGAGATCATATATTTCAACCACTCAGAATGTAGGCAATTTGGGTGACATAAAGAAAAAATATACAGACCCAACGTTTTACTTTTTTATACCAACACATGTATATATAATTGTCCTTCCGAAACACTAAAATTGCGACTCTGATAAAAATGCTCCAAACACAAGATTTTTAGTACTCAAGTGATGCTCCAAGGATGTAGATGCTTCTATTCCACCACAATGGCCCCCAACGATGTTTTTTTGGATGAGGCCATGGCTGAACTGAAGATGGGTAATAAAAACAGAAATGAACCCCCAGTGACGTATGAGAATGTCCAGTTCTGTTCCGAGTCCTACACATCTCTCTTCTTCATTCTTTGGTTTATCTCTGTGTACAGTAGAGGTCGCACCTATTTGCTGGAAAACTGCTTTGGTAACCTTAGGGATGGATGCAGCCTCTCCGTAAGAAACAGAGACTCAGATTTGGGAACTGAAAAGAGAGGGATAAATGTAACTGATCCTCCCCCTTTTTAACAGAACTTTGGGGATCAGAAACACTACCAGAACAACAAACTAAGAGCAGGCAGCAATTTTTAAGTATTGGACTTCTACATCCACTCAAATCACATAATAGCAGATTGCCCGAATCCTTTTCCAAATGCGCATTTAGAAAAGAAATGTTTTAAATTAAAAGGACACT